ATATTTGTATTGCATCAGGTTTCAGATTCGAAAAAACCAATTTTACCCTGGCCAAATTATCAAAAATATTTTAAAGTTTTAACTATTAAGAGTCATTGAGGACAATTTTTTTACAAGAAGCTGAAAGTGGAGTGCTCAAGTTGTGTCGATACAAAGTGTTACAAGGCGGATTCGCGTTCAAACTCTAATATAAGAAAACATTCAAGCGTAAGTACAATGTTAATTTCATGCCTGCCTATGACAGTTGACCCATCTAATATATCTTGTATGTTAAATTAATTTTAAATACCACACAAATACCTTTTTTTTTTTTTTGCAGTTTTGAACCGACGACGCCGCGGGGACTGCTTGCGCATTGCTTCCGCGACGCCGCCATCGTTTATTTGAAAAACGGGACAAATAATTATACATACGTGGGGGTATTCGGGACAGTCTCCGAATTACCCCCAGACACATAGTCCTACGTTATAAATAAAAAAAAAAATATACATGATACGTGCGAGTTTACATTTCGGTGGACGTGGTATTCCCCCCAGGCCGACCGGAGTCAGGCGCGCTCGTGTTCACGTACAGGTCCGTGTCGGCGGGCCGACCGAAGACCGAAGTTCGCCGCCCTGGTAGTCGCGTGCAAGTCCGTACTGGCGGGCCGACCGGAGTCCGCCGCCCTTGAGTACTCGTTCCCCCGTTGATATGCCGCGATGCCGTGATCGCCGTCCCGCCCGTGGTGTCACAGATGGGGAGATGAACGACGTGGTCGGTGACACCTCCGACGATTCGCGGTGGCAAGTGGTGTGAGTGTCTGTCCAGTCGTTCATCTTGAGATCTCGTTTGCGCTTCAGACTAATGCCCTCTTCTCCTATTTAATGCAGCTCTGTGGTGTGCCTGGTCTTCGCGTTCGTCTTCCTCCTTAGTGGCCATGATGGATTCGATCATGGTTGTGAGAACGTGGCGGCTCGTTTTAGCCTGCTGAATCAGTCTTTCCCTGGCGGCGGAATCGTCGGCCAGGTCAACCGGAGGGGGACCGCACAAGATGTCTTCCACGTCGCCGGCGTTTGGAGGTCTCCTAAGTATTTCTGTTAATCGGGCTCGATCATCCAGCCACCTTGGACAGGCGAACACAGTGTGCTCGGCCGTGTCGTCCGGGTCCATGCAATAGCCGCAGTAACTGTCGTCGGCCCGATTCATTTTTGCAAGATAGCTGCGGAAGCATCCGTGCCCTGACATCGCCTGGGTCAGGTGATAAGTCATTACCAGCTTGGGCTTCGCTAGCCATCGAGCGAGGTT